ACTTCAGTCTTTAATCAAGGGACACGTTTAGAATTGCGGTTAATCCTAAAATTACTGACTTGAAAGGCTGCAACAGCATATAAAAGCAGTAAGAGGATGAGAGAGCTTAGAGGCGAGAGACACTATTGAAGAAACAACCCTAAATGCTGTTTAATATTTTAAGACATCAGAAATTCCTATATTAAAAACAATCAGCACTTAAATTTCTTTTTTTTTTTTAGATTTATTTATTTGTGCATACAGAACTGGGGTACAGGCCAGAGACGCGGAGGGTGAGAGGATTCACCAGAGACAGAGTGGGGAGCAGAACAGGCAGATCGACCAAGTACACTGCTGAGGGGAGCAGCGGGCGGGTCAGGAGAGGTCTGCCACGCCATGTGGTCACCGCCGGGGCAGGCGGGAATCGAACTCATGCGGAAGCGGCTTTAGATTCTCAAATTTAGATTCTTAAATTTCTAACTGAAAGTTTTACTTATATGAGCTACCTTATTTCCAAATGATGTTTGACAGGTAAGGTATTATGGTAACAAAGATATAAGACAAAAAAAAAAAAAAGATAACCTCTTTAACATCCTTTAAATGTGATGAAATGGGCTGGTGACAGTGGATTTTAATATTCTCTGCAAAAGTAAAACAACCATCATTTGCATGAGAGGGAAAGAAATGTCTGGAATAACTCAGAATGCTAACTTTCATGCTTCCATTAGAAACAAGATATTTTTACATGCACACACACACACAAAAGATAATGAAAGAAGGCAAATGTTTCCCAAGCAGAGATGCTGGCCAACAAAATTCCCAAAGAAACCTAGTAGATACAGAGAAACACGTGCTACCCTTGGCATTTGACTCTTGATAGAGCTTTCCCTGACAGCCATTCAGCTTTCTCTAAACAACCTGCAAATCCAAAACATAAAACCGACCAAACTCAAAGGAGAAGTGATTATCCGTGCTCAAAATATTGTGCCTTGACGCCTTTTAAAACTCTCTTGTGCTTCACTAGCCACAGCTTCTTGGATGAGTGGTCTAGCAAGCAATGTGGGACCCTCGGGATCCTAGAGCAGGGTCTGAGGAGGGCAGCTCTTCAAAACATTTGGTATGTGGAATGGATACATGGATGAGCACCTCGTATATGAAAGGGCTGTGTTCCAGAAGGGTGCTTGTGAAGTCTGTCCTATAAGAAGTGAGAGTGATGGGGCCTCCCTGGTGGTGCAAGTGTTAGGTCGAAGCACTATGAAGCTATTAGTAGCCAATGCAGTAGCACCAGTCACCCTCTGCCAGGAAGCCGACCCACATGGCACAGCAGACCTTCCTTTCTCGCCTGCTGCTCCCCTCGGCAGGGTACTCGTTAATCAGCCTGCTCTGCACCCTGCTCTGTCTCTGCTGAAACCTCTCACCCCTGCACCTCTGGCCTACACCCCAGGTCTTCTATGAAAAAATAAATAAAAGCTTAAAACAAAGAATTGAGAGTGCATTTCTCCAGAGAAACCATGCTAGAAGTTAAGGTTAAATCCCAGGTAAATCCACGGCTTAATGAACCTATGAACATATCTGGAGGTCCTCATCGGCCAAGAAAAACGTTTGGAAACGTCATGTACTCTTTGTCATCCTCCCAGAATTTCTATTTCCTTGTTCCTCAGTCTTCAGTAACTAACATCTCTATTTCCCACATTTTGCTCCAACCGTGGCAAGCCACTCAAATGGTCCCTAGGTCCCAAAGAGCCTATACGCCAAATAAAATACTTTTTTTCTCTTAATCAACATCTGCATTTCTTCATAGATATTCATTCCTCAGTAATATGAAGGGAAAGCTAATCTGATTCACTCACAGCAACACAGAAGAGAGTCCTACTAACCATGTGTATGGTCTGCTACACCCTTGTGTACAATGAATGGAGATTTTAGACAGTTCACTAAGATAAAGTTTAAAATTCAATCTTCGACGTGCAGGTTAAATTTATGAATCATATCCCAGCATGCAGGGCCTCAAGAGCAAGTGTTCAAATGTACTAGCCCTTTTTAAGTTGATCACTTGCAAGTTATAAAAAGAGAACAAAATACGAATATGTATTCCAGACAAGCAAAAGAAGAGAGGAAATCAGCCCCAATAAACCAATACATTGTATTTAAAGGTGTGCTAGTTTTTTGGTTTTTTTTTAAAGGTGCTCTATTCTTGGAAAAGGATTTAAAGTTAAAATGTTGCTGCTATGCATTTGGGACAGGGAGTGGTTTAATAGCAGACTTAAGCAGACTTACACCATTTCTATTTAGGTGAGAAAAGAGCGATATAACCAAAAGGAATTGAAGGAATTCAGAATAAGCCTGTATGCCAGAGAAAACCATCCCAGTTGCTCAGAAAGTATTTACTGAAGTCCCCTGTTTTACTATTTATGCCTGAGTGGTAACCCAGTGACAATCGCAGCAACAGTCACTCCGTTCCCACACGAGACAGCCAGTTATTGTTTAGTTCTAAAATTTAGCAGACCAATCTCTGACCACCAGTCTTTCTTAATTCTCCATCCGCAAAAACAAAAAACTCATTCTGTTCTTTTTAAGTTTATACACATGCATGAAAAACTAGAAGTTTATGTGTCTAGGCTGCTTTCTCATGGCTTGCATAACTGAAAAAAAGGTTTTTATTTAAAAATAGAACTTGGCAAGTGAGTAGTCCATAATACGGACCAAGTGCATTTGGAATGCTTTAATAAAAATAAATAGCCAAAATATTTAACTTTGAAAAGCATCAGGCATGCTATTTTCTCTTTGATTTTATATTTTGTCACCTTTGAAAGGAGCATGCATTTTCAGAAGATATACTCATACATTTCATAGGTCTATAGTCTTGTTTTTATTGGAAATAGAAGGAGCATTGTAAGAAAGGTTTAAAAGCCATAACTTCAACTTATGCCTCCTCATCAAAATTGAATGTCCTTGTTTCCAAAAATCTTTTTTGTTTATATTTATACCAATTTGTATCCTCACAATTGTTGTTTCCATAAATTTTAGAAGTTTTTCACGTAACATTACATTATCAATATTTCTCATGTTGTTTTACGATCAGTATCAGACTCGCCCATAAAAATTTTGAATAAAAATACTGGTCACTTAGTGCCAAATTCAATAAATATTTCATGCATAATTTTATATGGTATCTTAATCTGGTTAGGATTAAGAAAACATTTACATTTGTAAAGGCTAACCTACTTCCCATGTTTTTGTAGATACTGAAAAAAAAAAAACAATGCAGAGAAATGAACTACTTCTTTGGGAGGAAATCCAATGAATTTATAAAAGTATGTTCTGGGAATTGGGTTGACAAAACATTTAAGTCTTTCTAAACTGGGAGTTTAGAAACTTTCTCATAATGAATATAGTTTAATCTATATTCACATAGCATATTGTCAAATACTTGTGCCTAAATACTTCATCATGTTAAAAAAAAAACCCTTTTTTGGTAACTTGGGATTGTTCTATCTCTTTCCTCACTTCCAATTTTAATCTGTGTTCATTTTTGTTTATTTTACTACATTTTTGCTTGTTTATTTTTTGCTTTCCATTTTACCTTTTTATTTTATTCTCATTCTATTTTGAATTACATGTGACTGAATGGCTTGATTTATTTTCCTTCATAAAGTTCTGAATTACCTCCAAGTCCTGCTCTGGTAACGTTATTTAGATGTTAATATATATTTTTAAATTTTTTGTTATTGGTTAAATAGTCTTTTATTGCCTCTTTTTACTTCTTTCTAGGCCCAATTATTACTTACAAGACTCTTTATATTTCTAAGTGCTTGGAGCTGTTTTTATTGTTGGAATTGGAGACAGCAAATGCATTTGATTTAATTATTTAAAAATGCATTCAGATTTCCTCTGACTCCTTCTGAATAATATGTGTCTCCAAGTACACATGCACAGACACCTGAAAAATCAGGCTTCTGACTCCATAATCTGAAGATATATTAAACCGACTAAATTTAAATTCCTTTATGAAACACTACTGGTTACATGTAAACTCTCTGATATTGTAGGGATTAAATATGGTAACATTTGTGTAGTATTCAGCATCTGATCTAGCATTTCTTAACACTCAACTAATGACTGGTGGCAGTAGGTGTAATATAAATATTAACAGTGGTTTTTATACCATTTATGCTCCTCCCAGCATTCACAGGAGCTCAAAGGCACTCCTGAGCTATAAAAGGATAAATATGTTTTCCTACCTAGGACACAACATGGGTGAGTGAGACGCCTTCTTAAGTTATTTCCAACTTTTACATTCCCGACTCTAATTTTTGGCATATCTAGGACCAGACTTCAGCTAGACCAGATGTAGGTCACACATAACCTTTGTTCTGAAGCAACTTGCCCATTCTTTATAAACAACATTCTCTGGAACTGAAGTCAAAAGCCATTACGATAGAAAATTTTAACACACTCATTCTTCCACTTGAAAGTTTTGGACAGATAGAAATCAAATCACTATTTCTGGTATAAAAGTAAAATTTTCAAAGGAATTTATCAGCCCTCCTTTTGCTTTCCAGGAATAAAAGTAAAATTCCCAAAGCAATTTCCTCCACAAAATACATTCACTTCCCTATCCAGTACTAACAATCAAAGAATTGAAGAAGAAAGATGGAATAAAAAGTATTTGCATAGCTGGTTAAATCCAGGATATTTCTTCATTATAATTTATTCATTAAGACCAACTATATTTCCTTTAAGAATGTTTATCATTAAAAATAAAAAATATTATTAAGAATAAAAAGTCTTACTTTACTTAAAAAAAAATGAAAACTTCCCAGTAGGTCATTACCTACGAATGAACATATCTGGTAATTAAAAACAAAATAAAAATTTTCAAACCTGAAGTATGGTCCTTTGTGTAAATAAGATGATAGAAAAGTAATAAAAGTTTTGTCTTTAAATCTGCTAAAATACAACCCTTCTGTGGCAGCTTTGAGTCTGTTTTAAACAAGATATCACAAGAAACACAGACTTACCTGTGCGATAGACAAAGTTGCCTTCAGTTTCTGATGACGAGGGAGACACCAATTCTTCCTCAAATTCATTGGAACTAAAAGATCCCGAATGGTTTCTTCGCCTTGTCTTTCCCATCATGGCGGCATTTGTAGCCATGACGTGTCTAAGAGAGTCGTTCAGGTAACGGTTCAACAAACTGCTCTTGTACTTTGGGGGTGACACGTAGTCCTCACCGGCCCGTGACTCCAGCCTCACTCCAGCTTTTATGACTGAGCTTTCATTTTTAATCACAGGATGATGTACTGGATTACTATAGACCCCTTCATTTATGTGGTTTCTTGGAGGGTTTTCTCCATCTAAGGGGTAAAAATATCACTAGGTAGTACTTACACATACTTTCCCCCACCAACTGATTGTAATACTAATCATTAGCATGTGTTTGGGTATGTAGGAATATATAAAGAATATTTTAAAAGTATGAAATTTACTTGATATTCGGGATTAACACTTTAAGCAGGAGAACAACAAGAATCTGTCATCTCCTCCTTAGGTATTTAATTTTAATAATTTCACAGAAAATGTTTTTCTGACATACAATAGATCTATAAACAAGAGGAAACAGTCCTAATCCTGTTGGTCATTGATAGTACTGGAAAATGTGGTTACCTCAGACAATAGAACGTTACAATGGTATCAGCACAGTTTGTGAGATCAACCTTAAAAACAAGACTATTGCAGAAGCAAAACAAAGAAGCAAGATGAAAACATTAACAAACCTTCAGAACATGAATCATCACTGCTTACACTAAGTCGTTCAGCATTTCCTTGAACATACTTGTTGTACAACTTTATTCTTAAAGCCCAGCTTAAATCTGGCTGTCGAACGGTATTCTTAAGCCGACGTCTTGCATTAGCAAACCAATTTGACACCTAAAAAAGCATAATTTTTCAATTAACAAGACACAAAAAGTAACACATCATATAATTATTTTCCCAAATCACGCCTAAGCTTCTGTCTAAGCTTCTGTCCGAAACTCCACTCATATATTCTCAGAAGAATGTAATAGAATTGAATATTCAAACCATTCATTCATTCATTCAACAAACATAATCAGCACTTACTACAAATATCGAACACTTTCTGTATCCTGGGAATAAAATAAACATAAAGAAGCCTTGCCATGAAATTTTTAGTCTGGTAGGAGAAGTGGGAGAGTATAAATAACTGATATAGGGAAGAATATGATGAATGGCTTAAGAGGCACTGAAATAAAATGATACAGGAATCCAAAACAAATAGTTACTTTCATATGTGACTTGAGACTTCACAGGAAGTTAAGGATAGGAAGGTCCTTCTGCCAGTTTGTTCTAGGACATGGCCCCAAGTTATTATAATGGTTTGTGTGGCAAGATACACATAGAAAGTTTCTTGTTCTTGTAGATTTACACCGTAAAGATGCAATTTTTGCACATTGCTCAAGCCCTAATTATTGAATGGACTTGCGGGAATTCTGCTTTAAAGAAAGTACATTTTGTCCTTGTCCTCATGGGTAAAGCATGTTTTAATTCATGGGTACAAAGACATATCATATGTTATGCAGATAATCAATATTACCTCCTTAGTACCCTATTCTATGATAATTGTCCTTTTAAATTTATGTGCAGTGAGTAATATTTCACCAAGGAATTTCATAAATCTTAGTCTTTATCAATCCGCCTTCCTGTTAAGCTCTGCTATTATTACTATGACTGAATATTCTGTCTTCTCCAGCCTCTATAGACAAATACCACACACACGTACTTAAGCCTTGTTCTTAAGTGCTAGGAATAGATAAACTGAACACACAGAAAGACTAGCTGTGAAGTACCACATACAATTAACTACAGTGACATCCACTATAAAAGCACAAAATGTGTCATGTGCATTTCTTCACTACATTTTTCAAAACTTTCTATTCTCTCAGTCATTGCCAAATATCTAAATTTTCACTACTACTAAGTAGAGATTTAAGAACATTCTTTTTTTTTTAAAACTCAGATGTAATTGACAAATGATATTATATTGGTTTCAGCTATGCAACATTTGTATTTCCCTATTAGTAAGTGATGATGTAAGTGATTTTTTCATGTGCCCATTGACCAACTCTTTCTTGGATGCTTTTAATAAACTCATTACCAAGACTGGTGAAAGAGTTTATTACCTATGTTTTCTTCTCGGGGTTTTATGGTTTGGGACCTTACTTTCAAGATTTTGATCCATTTTAAGTTAATGTAGTTCAGAGTCATTCTTTCGTGTTGGATATCCAACTTTCCCAACATCATGTATTGACATGGCTGTCCTTTCCCTGTTAAATATTCTGACTGCTTTGCTATTAATTAATTATATATGCGTGGGTTTATTTCTGGGCTGTCTATTCAACCCTATTGATATGTCCTCTGCTAAACCATACTGTTTTGATTACTGTAACTTTATAATAAAATTTTAAGTTAGGAAGCATGATGCCTCCAGCTTTGTTCTTTCTCAAGATTGCATTGGCTATTTGTGGTCTTTTATGGTTCCATGAAAATTTTAGATGTTTTTGTGCTCTTTTGTGAAAAACACCAATGAATTTTAATAGTGATTACATTGAGTCTGTAGATTGTTTTGTGTAGTATGAGAATTTTAACAATATTTAGAAATATCTTGAATGGAATAAATTTATTTATTCATGTTTTCTTCAATTTTTGTCATCATTGCCATGCATCTTTTAAAACATTTACTAAAATGCAATAATCTTATCACTTCAAAAATACTAGCATACTATACTTCTAACATACAAAAATGGGAATCTATATGTCATGGCAAGATTAATAGGCTTTTCATTTATATGAGTTATATTTTTTATACTGTTTATACCCATAGTCTTGGCATAGTATATTAATTACATATTCTATGATTTTCAAGAATTGTTTTCTGATGTCTAACATAGGCTCTTTCTCAAGTAATTTCAGAAGCTCAACTGTTACCCAAGCTGTAAATATATTTACTAGCTCTTTATAGCCAGAAATTTATAGTACAACTTAGAGCTGGATGTAGTCCAACCTGATCAATATCTAGTCCAACCTGATTAATGTCTATTTGCCATAAGTTGTGAATGCAAATATATGACTAGTAAATTTGCATGCATTTTATTTTGCAATTTTTTTTCAATGTCAAACTCAGAATTTTAAAATCATGAATTTTATGGTGAGTGCTTGGGGAACAGAATATCTAGAAGCTTGATAAGAAAACTAGGAAATGTTCATCCTACTCTAACAGCCATGTTTACATACTTCATATTGAAAAAACAATCATTATAGGAAACCCACAGGGATACACTGGCATCTTTCCACCTTTGAATACAACTGACAAGCTTATTCTGGACTATTGCTCTGAAATACTGAACACCACATTTCCATACCAATAAGTATAATACCTGGAATAATATAAAGAAGCAATCTGAGATTTTGTTGAATATTTAACAGTAGGCATATCCTGGCATTCACTAATTACATACATATTTCATCAGAAACACTCAATATCAGGAAAAACATTGCAGTTTCAGCCAAATGTGCATGGATGTACATTGGAATTTGAAACATCTCTAAGAGGCAGGGTAATCTAGTCACAAAATGTAGTCTCAAACTGTACTTGTGCTGTATTTTGTATGGTGATCATGAAAGAAATCATTTAAGGACACATTTCATTTTGAAAATCCAGAAAATAATGCATAAAAATGTTATTATACACACACACACATGATAAGGGGATATGCTGAAACCAAATACAGTTCCCATCTACCCTTCTTACATGTAACTCTCCAAGGCATTTATTTCTTGGTAAACTCCATATCCTACAATAATACAAAAATCCTAATCTCACATTACTTTGTTATTCCACAATAAAAATGATTTTGAGAGTACAAATTATGTGTTGATAATATTTGAACAACAGTCAATCAGAGAAGCCAAATACAATGGAATATTTTGGTTGACTAAGGTCAAAATACACATACACACACACACACAGACATAAGTATCTCCCTGTTAATTTTTATAAACATGTTTATATCTCATCAAGAAAATGCCAAGTTAATAATGTAAATGAGAGCCAAACATAGTTATAGCAAATAAATATAAGTTGCCAAGTCTAGTGAGAAATAACTCTTTTTGCTTCACTTTTCAGGGATGAATGGTGTTGAGAACTGACCTTAGAACTACTTTCAACAGAAAAATACTTTGAGTTTCTAAACTATATCTCCTATACTAAGTTTTGGCCTTTGTTTCTTGACTTGATGGCCAGGTTTCACACCCTTCCTTATCAATTTAAAAGTAGCAATATAAGACAAAACTACTTCTTATGAGAAGTTTGACAGTTTGACACACAACCTCAAGGAAAATGTTCAGTGTAAAGAGAGTATCAAAACACAAGACATTCTTAAACAGAATAAAGCAGTTGTGCTGAAAGCTTACAAATATTAACCATAGGAAGAGAGATAGGAGGTATTACAATCAACAAGAAAGAGGAGTTTGGTGCTATAAATAAAGGCCCATTCTATGTTTTTCTATAAACATAAAAATATGATGCATTTTCAGATACAGTGAAAATAATAAAAAGATGTGTACTTATGCTTGTTTTTAAGAGCTACCACATAGCATTAAAGATAATGAACTGCCTGCTGCATATGTGGGATGGCATTTACAGCTAGACTATCCTAGATTTGAAGATATTCTCTTAGATGCCTAAGACATTCATAAAGATGTTTCAGAAAACTGCCTTGTATTATAGTGGTTTCCCCTGATTAGAGCTTGTTTACTTTAGAAATAGGTACAGATGCTTGTTATATGGAAAGTACTATACTGGAGTGACCCAGGGGAAGATGATGAATAAGACAAGTTCGCCCTTCTCAATTATACAGGAGAAATTTATTCATTGGAAGAAACTGACTCATTCAGTAGGGGCCTAATTTTTCAGGAATCAGACTTTTTGCTCAGATCACAGTCTTATAATTCTCTTCTTACATAATTTGGTTTACATGAAGAATTTGCTTCGGATGTTTAATGTTTGTTTGACTTATACAAGCTCCCTACATATGAATATATAAGTAAGCAGATATGTATATATGTACTTACATATTTGAACACATTTTTCTTACCTAGATATCCCATTAAGCATAATTGAAAATATTGCATCAAAATTAAATTATACATATACATAGATATCCCTTGGCTATTCTATGCATTTTCATTTTTTTCCATTTATCACTTTAAAGTTTCATAAAGGACCTTTGTTTACTACAAAATTTGGAAATTGTAAAGTATATCACTTATTATAATTATCTTTGCTGCATTAAAATTACATATATTTTCTGGAATTTTCTGAGGATTAATATGAGAAAAAGTAATAAGAAAAAAATTTCAGTACTTGAATAAAATTTCACAAAAATTGGAGAAACGTAACCTCATCAAGACCTTAATGCAAAACTTAAAGTTACATGTATTTTAACTATCATTCCAGGTAACAATTATTTGATCCTGTTTTTTAAAATGTCACATTGAAGTTCAACAGACTACACTACCCCAAAATTTAACTGTCTCATCAGTTGACAAATACAACTTTTCATAAGTAAAAATGTTCTAAATGTGTATGTAAGAATGATAAGCAAAAGAACTATTTCCTTATTTCATTAACCAAAAGAATTTAATACTTTATTAGTGAGATCACTGTGAAATATCAAAATAGCTCCATAAATTCGTGTACTTAAACACAAATAGCTATCTGTTTTAACTGAAATTTGAACACATGTACTCATTTTCATAAATCAAGTTTTTCTGACCAGAAAAATTTTTAGAAACTACTTTTGTAAATCACTGAAAATTCAGTTTTCTATTAAATAACTAGCTTAACTATTAAGCCAAAAATACTAAATTAAGTTTCCCCTTCAGAGATGCAACAAAGCACTATTAATACTATTTCCAGCTAATATTAAAGAAAACAGAAGTTTTTCTCTGTAACTGTGTTCTGAAATAACCAGACAAGTACATATTATAATCTGAGTAAAACTAAATATAATTCAACCCTCATGCTTTGACAAAATCTCCAGTAATTCCTTAGTGGTAATCTTAAATACTTTGAAAGCAATTTTTACTCTATCTATAGTTACATGTTTTTTACTGTAGAGTTTTTCCCCTCACTATAAATTTAATGGAATGACCAAAATTTCACAAATGTAATGATGTAGTGCTACTATAACATGTGAAAGTCTCAGTTCACTTAACGCCTCCTCCGCTTTCTGAATAAGTTTGTTCTGTCTGCATATATAAAAGTTTATGTCATCATATTTATTCAAGAAAAACGTGGCATGATAGAATGAGCATTTGGCTGGAATTATATTACTTCCAGGCCTACCTCTATCCCTGACTTACTCTCCATTTTAACATGCCATGGTGAATATCCAAGAAGACAATGTGTGGGCAAAGCCTGTGAGACGTATAGTGGCGATGCTCATTTGAAAAGAAACACATTTGCACTATTCTCTACACTTGGCGAAGTAACAGAACCACCTCACATCTCTTTTCTTACCTCAGTAGAAAGATACCGCCAATAACATTTTGTGGAGTCTAGGTAATTCCCAGAAAGCCTCTTATTATTACCAAAAAAAAAAAAAAAAATCCAAAACCCCTTAGTGAACTTCCACCCACCTTCTATTTCCGTTAATAGTGGAAAAATTGAAAGTCACCTTGTACTTGACCTTTAATGGGCTCTAATGTGGGGTGCTGTTCTGCAGGGCCCTCAAAAAACTTGGTCTCAGGCCAACAGCCTCAGCATCACCCAGAGAACTTGTCAGAAATGCAAATAACTAGCACCACCCTACTAGTCTTACTACTGAATGAGAAACTGTGGGGCCCCGGAAGTTGCATTTTAACAAATCCTCTGGGCAACTCTGTTGTCCACTCAAGTTTGAAAATCACTTTTCATGATCCCACCTATGTCATCTGTATACAGTCTGGACTCTCAAACCCCTCATAATCCTGCCATTGACTTTTCACTGCCTTCCCTAACAAAACAACGCTCTGTCTGTCCCTCCTGCACCACACACAGTGACTCCCACGACAGAACCTGGCACCGTGTCAACCTTCTTCGTGCTTCAGGGGAGCCTCCCTCTGCTCCACAACACCTTGTGCCCCTGGGCTAACCAGCCCCCATCCTGAGACCCATTAAGGCCTTCCGGGCCCGGATTACCTGCACCAGCGTCATCTGCGAGCCCAGAGCCAAGAGTATCTTCTCGGTCTTGGTGGGGTACGGGTTGTCACGGTGCTTGTAAAGCCACTGCTTGAGGGGCCTGGCCATGTCTTGCAGGGCCTGCCGCTTGTGCCTCACCTTCCCGCCGCTCTGCCGGGCCCTGGGACAGCGGGAGAGGAGCGGGCTCCCGGTGAGCAGCGCCAGCGGGTGCAGCTCGCCAGGACCCCCTAATTCTGAAGAAGCTTCAGGCCGCCGGACCCAGAGGTCGGAGCTCTGCATCCAGCACAAGCAGCCCCGCCATGCACCCCACCCCGCGCCCCAAGGCAAGGAAGGGGAACCACGCACATTTCTGGGTGGAAATATCTCTCCTCGGCAGCACTCTTTAAAATATCCCGGGTGTCGCAGAGATCAGTTGGCAATAGCCAGTTGGCGGTGGCCAGAGGCTAGGGGTTTAGGTGAAGATGGATGGGACTTGATTTGCTACGAGACGAGCGCGGCAGGCTGCCCTCCCGGCTCGCCCGCACAGCGCCCTCGGGTGACTCCGGCCTCGAGAATCCAGGAGAAGACCGGTCAGCTCTCTACTGTTCTTCGAAGGAATTTATGCCTGGCTCTTGGGGCTTCCCGTCGCCTGCGGTCATTGGAAGGGTCTCCCAATGAGCCGCGAGAAGAAAGCTAGGGGTGACGGCCGCCCGCTGCCCTGTTCTCCTAGCGCTCACCCAGTTGGCTTTGGGCCGCGAGGGAAAGGGGCGACTTTCCACGCGAGCGGCCGGTGGAGCAAGGATGCAGAACACAAAACCACTCGCGGGGCCTTTTGTCTACCTAAGGGAGTGTTTAAAGTCTGGACAGCTCCGTCCCCTCCAGTGAAATAGCTCAGCCAGGCGCTGTCTAAAGGAGGAAGAGGCGGACCGCGAGCAGCAGCCCGGGTCGGCGGTGCGCGCTGCGCTCCCGCGAGGCTCCGGGAGGGGTCGCCGCGCCGCCGCCCTCGCGCCGCACCGCTCCGGGAGGCTCGCGCGCCCGCCTCCAAGGCTTTTGCCTCTTTGAACACTTTGAAACACAATTCCATCCAAAAGAACTGGTAGTAACATTTTGACGAAACCTAATCTCTCGTTCACTAACCAGCCACGCCGCAGAACAAGCAGCTGATGCAATCCTTCAGGTGGAGCCAGCCAGGACCGCTTCCCCTCCCCCAACGGGCGCGGGGACGTGGCTTGGCTGGAGACAGCTGCCCACCTTCTGACAGCTGCCCCTCTCCACAGCCCCTCACCCCCAAGCCCCAAAACCCTGCCCCGCGGGCCCGCGGTCTCTCTCCACCCCCCCCTCCCGGGTCCGAGCTGCGAGCGCTTCCTGGGCACCCAGCGCAGTCGACCACTTTGGCCGCTGCAAAGTCAGTCTCGAGGCCTTGGCGAGGCGCTGTAGTGACCGAAAAGAGACTGGCCCACGGGGCTGGCCCGACCTGGGAATCCCCGAATGTTTGGTCTGCCCGGTTCCTACGCATCTCATCCTCGGCCGCGCGCCTGCACCCGCTCCACCCAGAGGGCCACATGCCGGACGAGAACCCAGGGGCAGTTCCTCCTGACCTGCTTTCAGCAAGCCGCTTTTTAGCTCTTCTGACCAATCGACTCCTGCTCCCCACCCCCCATTTTTTGAAGAACTAATAACTTAAAATGAGGATGCTCGTGGTCAGGAGGCGGGGACCTAACCTCTCGGGAACTCTGGGCCGCAAATCCGCAGCCTGGCTGCCACTTGCAGGCCAAGCTGCTCACCGACCCCTCCTCTGGGCGCAGGGGAGTGGGGGCCCCGGGAGGGTGCGCGTACCCGGTCCTCCGGTGTCTCAAGCCGAGATTGTCCTTGAGGGGCGGGCCGTCCGGAATGCCCACCTCGGGGCGGGCGTGGGGACCGTCCAGCACGCCGCCGTAGGGTCTGCCGCCCCGGTCCCGCTCCGGAGCGCCGTGGTCCTCAAAAAGCACCGCGCCGCTGAGCTTGTTGAAGACGAGGGTGTTCATGGTGCGGGCTGACAGGGGCGCGCGGCGCGGCCGCAGCGCCTCGGAGCCGGGCCGCCTGGAGCTCCGCAGGGCTCGGGGTCTAGGAGACGAAGGTGCATCACGTTACTCGCTGAGAGCGCTCGCTCCCTGCACGGCTCCAGCCAGACTAGGGCTTAGGCGCCCGGGGCCTGAGCCTGGGGGGAGGAGCGGCTCTACCGCACCTGGAAAAGGGAACCTCTGCCCCCACCTGGCATCTCGCTACCGGTCCCACCGCGCTGCGGCTCCGGGGCCGGCGCCTGCGATCTCCCGGGCCAGGCGATATGCCCCTCCCCCCTTCAGAACTCAATCTGGAATAATTACCCGCGGAGGCAAAGGAAAGTAATTCCTAAACGAGGCTCCCTGTTTCTGTTCTAATGTGGGAGAAACGCATCGGATAGCAGAACCGGGTAGGTGCAGGGCCACGCGTGGTTCTTGAATGGCTACTGAAGACTAACGCCCTCGGAGCTCCCGCTCGGGTCGTAAGGAGGGGTTGAAAGAAGGAAAAAATTTGGATTATATGAACAACCGCATCCGCAAGCCCTAGTTAATGAGTCCCAGGCTATACCGGGATTTCGGCGATTTTCATGTTTTCTAGATCCTGGATGGTTTGGCTGAAACCCCTGCGTCCTCATTCGGGCTAAACTCCCTTGGGTTGGGAGCCAGGGTAGGACAAGTTAGCAGATTCCAGAGCTAAAAAGTTGAGTGGCGGCCGGGACAAAAGCATCACATGTGC